TCGGGCTCTGTGCTGACTGCCAGCTCAGAGCCTGGAGCCTGTTTCAGTCTGTGACTCCCTCTCTCTCTGACCCTCCCCTGCTCACGCTGTCTCTCTCTCTCTCTCCTAGAAATAAATAAAAGCATTAAAAAAAAAAAAAAAAAAGACAAGGTCGATTTTCCCTTCCAAATTCCAAATTCCAGTATGGAATTTTCTTTTCGAGGTTGCTTATAGTGGTTTCTGCAATGCAGAGATTTTTTTGCTTTTGTGCAGTCAGATTTCTTCGTCTTCCCTTTTGTGACTTTTGGACAGTTCTCTTCAGTCTAAGACTATTAACAAAACAAAACCAGATTCTTCCACTACATCTAAAATATGATTTGTTATCTTTTGAATGATGGCATAGTATTTTTTCACACGGAGGACCACAATTTATGGAACCAATCCCCAATGGCTGAGCATTAAGGTTGTTTTTTATTTTCCCCTATTTTAAATCATGCGGCATTGGGCAGTCAGCCCTGACTTCCCCACTGCACCTGGATTATTTCAAAGCAAACCCCAGGCATCAAGTCATTTCATCTGTAAACATATAAAAGTTAAAAAAAATTTTTTTAATATTGTAAAATCTGTAAATCCTCTGGTCTTTTTGTCTCGCACTTTTACTCTTATTTACATTCAAATAGGCAGCATATTCACATGACTAGACATTCAAAAAACCAAAGGAAGCATGGAAAAATCCGCCTTCTACCCCATTCTCTAGCTGCCCCGTTCCCTTCCTGGAAAACAACCAGTGTTATCAGTGTCTTGTGTATCTTTAGTCATTATTTGCAGATGTAAAAGCAAATTGTGTGCTTTGTCCTGCTTAGAACACAATTGGCAATGTATTGAAACAACGATCTCTGTATTTTATTTTAAACACGTTTGCATTTATGATTTTTATTGCTTAACAGCGTGTCTTGAGATTGTGCCGGGTAACATCCTCAATCTTTTTTTTTTTTTAATTTTTTTTAATGCTTTATTTATTTCTAGGAGAGAGAGAGAGACAGCATCAGCAGGGGAGGGTCAGAGAGAGAGGGAGTCACAGACTCCGAAACAGACTCCAGGCTCCGAGCTGGCAGTCAGCACAGAGCCCGACGCGGGGCTCGAACCCACAAACCGCGAGGTCATGACCTAAGCGAAAGTCGGACGCTTAACGGACTAAGCCACCCAGGCGCCCCATCCTCGATCTTTTTCATCCCTCCATACATCCCGTTGCAGGGACACACATGAAGGGCTCGGCTATCCTGTCCCCCCTAGTGGTACGTTCATCCCACCTGCGGGCGATTTTGCGTGGAAAAGCCTGCATTCACCGTTTCTCTTGCGAGGAAGGGTATCTGCGGGACAAATCTCTAGAAGCGGAAGTGCTGAGCCCAAGGGTACTGTGTTTGTATGTTTGATAAATACCATCAAGTTCCTTCTTTCGGGGTTTTATCAGTTTACACATCAGCCAGCCGGACAGGAGGGGTCTGTTCCCCACCCGCAGCCCGCAAACCTTGTGTGTTACCAAACCTTGTCGTCTCTGCTGATCTGATAAGTGAACCAGACTATCTTTGGACATCAAGTTTTCGGTTATCCTTTTAAGAGAGTTGCTGAGCATCTTTTCACACGTTTAAAAGCTCATTTGAATTTCCCCTTTCCTTACTGTTTCTTCACATCTTTGCCTATTCCGCACCCCCCACCCTGCCCCCGATTTGCGTCACTGTGGGTTCATTTAAAAATGATTTGTGGGATCCCTTTATATATTAGAGAAATCATTCCTCTGCCTTTGTTATGACCTGCAGTCCCCCCTTCTACTTCTCAGTTTAAAGTTTTTCTTTTTTTTTTAATGTTTTATGTATTTCTGAGAGAGAGAGAGAGAGAGAGAGAGAGAGAGACACACAGCGTGAGCAGGGGAGGGGCAGAGAGAGAGGGAGACACAGAATCCGAAGCAGCTCCAGGCTCTGAGCTGGCTGTCAGCACAGAGCCTGATGTGGGGCTCGAATCTACAAATTCTGAGATCATGACCTGAACCGAAGTCAGATGCTTAAGCGACTGAGCCACCCAGGGGCCCCTAAAGTTTTTCTTTTGACTTCCCTTGTGGTAGTTGTGGGGATGCAGAAATTTTTACTTTTTTATATACTCAAATTTATCAATCTTTTGAGGCTTCAGGTTTTGTGTAATACTTAGGAAGGACTTCCCCATTCCGGGATTTGTTGTTAGTGGTAGTGGTGTTTTGTTTTGTTTTGTTTTTTTAATTCTCCCATGAGTTCATTCAGTAGTCACAAAACATAATTTGTTTGGAGCGCCTGGGTGGCTCAGTCGGTCCAGCTTTGGCTCAGGTCATGATCTCACAGTCTGTGGGTTCGAGCCCCGCGTTGGGCTCTGTGCTGACAGTTCAGAACCCAGAGCCTGCTTCGGATTCCGTGTCTCCCTCTCTCTCTGTCCCTCCCCCGCTCGCTCTCTGTCCCCTCTCTCAAAAAAATAAAGACATAAGAAAAATGTTAAAGAAAAAAAAGATTGACTTAAAAAAAAAAAAACATGATTTGTTTTTCATGGTGGGGTAGTATTTCATGGGACGGGAAGACCGTAATTTATTTAACCAATCACCTACAGCTGAATATTTAGGCTATTTCCAACCTTCCTGAATTATAGAAGTCATACTGCAGTGAAGAGGCTTGTCCGTAAATATGCCATTTCATTAGGCTAAATTCCTGAAAGTGACCTTCATTTCTGTCCCCAAACTACCCTCCAGAAAGTTGGGCTGCACTCTTCTGCCACAGAGGAGGCGTGTTTATTCTTCTCAAAATGCCCTCGGAGCCTAAGGCAGAGCAGCAGGGACCCAGGGCAGAAGACTCTCTCCTGCCCTGAATGAATCTTTTCTTGGCTTCTCAGCCAGAGAGCTGATTACGTGAATTATGCTGGAGGAGGGGGCGGGGCAGGAAGAGACCGGCAGAGAGAGAGAGAAGGCAAACCCAAACTAGCTGCTGAGGTCTCACTCAGAGCCTACCTACTCTTACTTTACACACAGTTCTATCTTCCAATAAACCTGTGAGGTGGCCGTTAACAGCACAGGAACAGATTAAGAAGGGGAAGCAAGATTGTTGCGTAGAGGTACCCTGGTCGGCTGTGTGCAGTTTCCAAATGAAGAGCAAGTGAAAGTGTAATCAAATGGAGTCAGGTGGACCACGCAGTTCAGTGCTTAACTGTCCCACGGATCCCAGTCACGGATAAGGAGGAGCCGATTACATTGGGTGATGTCTACATGTGCTTCTACACCTGAGATTCTGGAAGGCATCTTGAAAGTCTCGCGTAGCCAGAATGCTGCCCTCTTCCCCAAAGATGTCCCTGTCCCAATCCCCAGAAACTGTGACCACGTCATGCTGTGTGCCAAAGAGGAACTAAAGTTGCAGATGGAATTAAAATTGCTCATCAGCTGATCTTAAAATGGGTAGATTATTTAGGATTATCTCGGTGGACAGTGTAATCACAAGGATTTTAGAAGTAGAAGCAGGAGGCAGGAGAGCTAGTTGTTGGATTGACCCAGTGGCAGAAAGACGGGCCATTGCCGGCTTTGAAAATGGCGGAGGCCACCAACCAAGGAATGTGGGTGGTCTCTGGAAGCTGGAAAAGGCAAAAAATGGATGCTCCCTAGAACCTCCAGACAGAGTCCCCGTGGACACCCTTGAGTCTAGTCTAGAGAGATCTGTTTTGGATTTGATGTACGGAACTGGAAGGTACTAAGTGTGCATTGTTTTAAGTTTGTGTTAATTTGTCGCAGCAGCCAGAAGAAAGGAATACAAGTCTCATCGGGGACCGACCAGTGAAAAGAGACCCAGAGAAGAATGCCCTGCTGGCTTCACAGCTTCTGGAAACCGAATCTGAACCAGGAGCGTGTGCACACTCCTGGCTCTGGGCTTTTTACTTTTTTTTTTTTAATTTTAAAAATTTTTAATTGTATTATTATCATCATCATCATCATCATTATTATTTTGTTTTGCTTAACCCTGCTTCTTCTCTGCCTTCTTGATGATGAGCCCCGAGTCTCACCAAAGTTAAATTCTGTCCTGGCAAGGGGCACCTGGGTGGCTTCGTCCTTAAGTGTCCGACTCTTGATTTCAGCTCAGGTCCTGATCTCGAGGCTCCTGAGACCCAGCCTGAGGTCAGGCTCTACTCAACTGCACGAAGCCTGCTTGGGATTCTCTCTCTGCCTCTGCCTCTCTCCTGCTCGCCGCCCCCCCCCCCAAAATAAATAAAAACATTTTAGGAAATATGTTAAATCTGAAAAATACGTGTCTGTTGGCGAGGTTCAGTTATCTGGTTTCTTTCTGGTGACAGGGACTCTCGCTCCCCACCCCAGACTCCAAAGCGAGGCTCTTCGGTGACAAGTGCGGTCCAGATGTGGAAGGGCGGGGCGCCGAGGCTGCGGGCCCCCGGGGGACGGTGGGCGGGAGGGCGCAGGGGGCCCCGAGCCCGAGGGCGATTGGGGGCTGCGGGCTGCGGGGGCGGGCGCGGGGGGCGGGGCCGCGGGCGGGTGGCCGGAAAGGGGTTAACCCGGAGGAGTAGTGGTCGGGTCAGGTTACTTCCCTTTAAAAAGCCGGGAGAGGAGGAGTCCGGCCCTGGCGGGGCAGCTTTCGGTGGCGGCCGGGCTGGTGGACGTCGTCGGGGAGCAGGCTCCCACCTGGCCTGGGTCGAGCGCCCGTGCGGGGTCCCTCGGGCAAGTGGGGCGCGGTGGGGGGGGGGGGCTGCGGGCGCGGAGGGGTGCGGGGCGGGGGTGAGGCTGCGGGCGCGGAGGGGTGAGTGCGGGACGGGGCGGGGCTGAGGTGAGGAGGGGCGAGTGCGGGTCGGGGGCGGGGCTGCGGGCGCGGCGGGGCCGGCAGGGTGGGGGCGGGGCTGCGGGGCGGGGGTGGGGGGCTGCGAGGCGGCGGGGCAGGTGCGGGGCTGCTGCAGGGGTGGCGCTGCGAGCGCGGAGGGGCTGCAGGGCGGCAGCAGGAGTGAGCCGGGGACCTGGACGCCAGCAGAGAACCCCAGGTCGGCTGCCGACGCCCCTTTCTCAGTCCGGTACACTGAGGCCCAGGGAGAGCGGAAACGTTTTCTTCTTTCCTTCTTTTTCCTTTCCTTCCGCCCCTCCTCCTCCTCCTCTTCTTTTTACGAGAGGTTGTTCCTAAACGGACAGCAGGTTCCATGCAGGACGACACGTCGTGGCGGGGAACCCAGATGTGTCCGCGGGAATGGAAGGGAGGGTCGCCAGGGCCCCAGGCTCGGGCGGGGCTCGCCGGGGCCAGCTTCCTTCACTCCACCTGCGGCCTGGGGTCCTTCCCCGCGGGTGGTTCTGTAGCCCCTGGAGGGTGTCCTGCCCCTGTCTCTCCGTTTCTCTCCGTTTCTCTCCGTTTCTCTCCGTTTCTGCCGGGAGCCTTCTCTCGCCGCCTCCCGGATGGCTTCAGGGGCTTCGTGCTGGGCCTTGGCGGCCGGGCTGGGTGCCCGCTGCCCGTCCCCCAGCCCCCCCCCCCCCCAAGTGCGAGGAATTCCTCTGGCAGAGATCCGGCTGAGATCTTACAGCCACTCACCTGCTTCCCCTGAGGCCGTGGAGTCTAAGGCTAGACTCCCTGCAGAAGAAGGTTAAGCTGCTTCCATTTCACAGGTGGGAAGGCGCCCAACAGCGTGAGGCAGCCGCCCCCCCACCCCCTCCCCCAGTCTCTGGGGGCTGGAGCATCAGCTCCTTTCCACTCCCACATCCCTAAGCTCCTCCAACCCCCTGCTTGAAGTTTTGGGTTTGTTTTGTTTTTTTTACTTTTTTTTTTTTTTTTTTAACATTTATTCGTTTTTTGGGAGACAGAGCAGAGCAGGGGAGGGGCAGAGAGGGAGAGTTAAGAATCCAGAGCAGGCTCCAGGCTCTGAGCCGTCAGCACGGAGCCTGACCCAGGGCCGAACCCACTAACCGTGAGATCGTGACCTGAGCAAAGCCCGACGCTCAGCCAGCGGAGCCCCTGAAGCTTTATCGCTGAGCACTCTGAAGAGACAGGGGGAGTCCCCAGACCGGAAGGGGCCAGGGGAGTGGGGGGTTGGAACCGGGTGTGGTTCCAGGGCTTGTGGCTCTAGTGGAAGGTCCAGGCCCCCTTGCTGGGGGCTACGGGACAGTGCGAGGCGAGGCGGGGCTGGTGGCCCAGCCGCTCCCGCCGCGGCCCCGTGGTGCCCTCCTCCAGGTCAGCCGTCACCCCCTGCCTGGGCCCGTCCCTAGGTGTCTGTCATCAACAGCCCTACAGTGGCCCCAGCCACACCCATGGAGTTGGGCCAGGGTCCTCCGCGGGCAGCCCCTCGGCCCTGCCCTGCTGCCAAGAAGTTCCACTTTCTAGAACCACCCGCAGCTTCCCTTCCTGGAGGCACGGAGCTTCCGGCCCTTTTGCAGAGCCCGACCGACCGTCAGATTTTCAGTCTCTCGGCCACTCCCTGCAGCTCCGTGCGGAATGTGCCTCTGAAACCCAGACGGGACATAGTTCCCCTAAGATGATCAGACCTTCCATCCTGCCCGGATCTGCGACCTGCTGTCTCTCACGTGCCCTGCAGGACAGAATGGGGGCTGGGGTAGGAGGGAGGTGGGGAGGGAGGATGCTTGTGTAGCCGAGCCTGGAAAAGCTGCCGCTAACCAGCTGTGTGACCTTGGGCGAGTCACTTAATCTCTCTGTGCTTCGGCTTCCACTGGTGGTGATTGTCCTGGTGGGGCACGCGGCTTGCGGTAGGTGCTCAGTTACACAGACGGCGGTTGTCAGGCAAGAGCCGCAGCCCCGGAGTGTCCCCCCCCACCCCCACCCCCCCAAGGCCTCTCTGCTCCTTTCCCCCTGAGTGCCCTACATTGGGCTAGAAGTCTATAGCAGGAGCTCACTCCCCATCAGGGCCCTTCTGAGGTTCTCACAGGATGAACAAGGTCCGCTGCTCCCAGAGGAAGCACCCTGGGGGGCTGGCCCACACCCAGCCCGGTGCAGCTGTGGATGGAGACCTCAGAAGCCTGGCAGTAGGCCAGGGACTTGAGGGGCCAGAGTGTGCCCTGTGCTGGGGCCCCAGCCTCGTCGCTGCCTCCCACTCACCGTTCCTTCAGGACAGACAGATGGGCTTCAGGCTGTCCCCAGGACCCAGCCCGCCCAGCCCCGCAGGTGACAGGGCAACTGAGCAAGCGCTGAGAAGCAGCTTACCCAGGGGTCTGTGAGGGAGCCTGGATCGCGCTGGCCGGCTGGTCCGGGGCTCTCCCCGCCGCACCCCCTCCCAGGCTCCTGGTTGTTTCCATGTTTGAATAGGAGGCAGTGGGGGCGCCTGGGTGGCTTAGTCGGTTAAGCGTCCGACTTTCACTTGGGTCATGATCTCGCGGTTCGTGGGTTCGAGCCCCGCGTCGGGCTCTGTGCTGACTGCCAGCTCAGAGCCTGGAGCCTGTTTCAGTCTGTGACTCCCTCTCTCTCTGCCCCTCCCCTGCTCACGCTGTCTCTCTCTCTCTCTCTCTCCTAGAAATAAATAAAAAATAAAATAAAATAAAACATTTGAATAGGAGGCAGTGTGTTCCCCCGCATCTGAGACAAAGGTGACTTTTTCTTGTTCAGCTGAGGTCTCCTACATGTGCGACTATGGCTTAAATATCCTCCAAGGTGTCTCCTTAATCTGTTTTTCAAATTTGGAAGAACCTCTGTTCTTTAGATCAAAATATAGACAGACAGAAATGTAGGAACCCATAGGAAGGTTGCTTTGGGTGAGTTGGGGCCAGAGGTACTCAGCTTCTCCCCCGTCAAGAGATTAACGGGAAAGGGAAGAGCCTGGGGGGCTCAGTCGGTTAGGTGTCCTCCTCTTGATTTCAGCTCAGGCCATGACCTCACAGTTTGTGGGTTCAAGCCCCGCAGCGGGCTCTGTGCTGACAGCACGGAGCCTGCTTGGGATCCTCTCTCTCCCTCTCTCTCTGCCTCTCCCCTGCTCAATCTCTCTCTCTCTCTCTCTCAAAAAATAAATTTTAAAAAAAGAGAGATTAACAGTAAAAGATACACACATTTTGCTCACCTACAGAAAGGTCACACTCCAAAGACAGCCCACAGGGAACACCGCCCCCACCCCCAGAATCACACAGGTAGAGGAAGAATTCCCAGGGTGAGTGCAGTTACACAAGATGATTTTAGTTTTCAAATAGTTTTTAAATAGTTTTTAAATCAATAATCTTTTTTTTTTTAATATTTTTATTTATTTCTAGGAGAGAGAGAGACAGCGTGAGCAGGGGAGGGTCAGAGAGAGAGGGAGTCACAGACTCTGAAACAGGCTCCAGGCTCCGAGCTGGCAGTCAGCACAGAGCCCGACGCGGGGCTCGAACCCACGAACCGCGAGATCATGACCTAAGCGAAAGTCGGACGCTTAACCGACTGAGCCACCCAGGCGCCCCTTAAATCAATAATCTTAATTAAAAGGGGTATAGGAAAAATGATAACTTAGCACATCTAACCATGAGTTCATGGTGATTATTGCCCAGAAGTAGCATTAAGTTAAGATTGAGTTAAGGGAAAACATTAAGTGAATAATATACAGGAGGATCAAGGTTATGCAAATCTCACAAAGGTGGTTTGTGTGGATGATGCAGAGGCGGAGAAGTGTGAAGTTTGGGGGGGGGGCAATCCGCCCTGAAGATCAAGTGTCTGAACTACACTGAGTTCCACCTTTAACCGTCGCCTCATTTGCTTAGTGATGCATCCGTTCTGCAAACACGCGTCACCCGCGTGCTGTGTGCCAGGTGGCTGCCTGGTGCGGGGGGCGCTACTGCCATCGTGCTCTGAGGCTTCGGGGGGGCGGGAGGACCCCCCGGGACCGCATCGCCAAAGTGAGCCCCCGGGATGGTGGGCGAGGGGGACAAAGAAGCTTTCCTGACCCAAGGAGCGCCTTGTTGCTGGTGAGGAGGGGCTCGCGGCAGGCACCTGGAAGAGGGAGGATGTGGTGGGCTTGCGGGACAGAAAGGCCGGTGGGCAGAGTCCGGGGGCGACAGGGGAAGAGAGCTTGAGGTGAGACGAGAGCACCCTTGGGGGCTGGATCACGCCAGACCTAAAAGCCCTGGCAGGGGTTGTGTACGTTAGCATTCAGTTAGCCGGTATTTACTGGGCTCCTGCCCAGTGATGGAGGGGTTGACAGAATTCTAGAATCTTCCTTCAAGGGGCTTCGGTCTAGCGGCAGGCTTTTGGACACAAAGACGGCCTGTTCGTAAGGGCTGTGATAGAAATGTGAACCAGAGGCCAGTGAGGCACAGAGGGGAGAGGAGCCGTCAGGCACGAGAAGGCAGTGACATTTGAGTTGGGCTTTGAAGGATGAATAGGAGTTTGACAGGAGGGAGAGGAAAGGCCCTCCTGGTAGCAGAAGCGGGTGAGTAAAGGCGCAGGTACGAAAAGGCCCCCTGGCTCTGGGAGGTTCCTGCAGTTAGAATCACACGAGGCACTGGGAAGAGGACAGGCCAGAGGGTCTAGTTCGCAGAGGGTCTGAGGTTTACATCCGGCAGGCGAGGAGGAGCCGGAGGCCTGGCCTGGGGAGGAGAGGAAGACGCTTCTGCTGAGGCGTGCGGTGAGGTTGGTGGGGGTGGGTACTTGCCACTCTTACCCAGTGGGGTGTGAGGATGGCCAGGCGTGGGCCGTGCCGGAGGGGGAGCGGGGGTGGGGGGAGCTTCTCAGTGTTCTGGAAGGTGGGAGCCACGGATGGGGCCCCTCTCTGAGTCCCCATCCCACGCTGGCCATGGCACCCAGAGCAGAGACCCCTCATTACAGGGCAATCAGCTGCCTGCTGACGAGCTTTGAAAACTAGAGTCTCTTTCCAAAAGAGTAAAGATCCTGGCCAGCTGGGCCTGTGGTCCGCGTCCAGAGCAAACAGGAAGAGACCACACTGGGCCACGCAGGGCCTCTTGCTTTGTTTGGAGGGATTCGGCCAAGTGGGCTGCTGGGTCTTCTCTGCTGTGAAGGTGGGGGGGGGGGGGCTGCGGGCCCAGTCGGGGACAGAGTGAAGCTTAGTTCAGGGGGACATGTGGCCCTGAGTGCCACTTCCGATAAAGATGGCCTCCCTAGGCAAATTCTGGCCCTGGTGGTAGGAGATCGGGAGCACGTGACACGTCGCCCTTGGGAGCCGCAGTTCCCTGTCGCCGTGCCCCAGCCAGAGGTTTCTCTTGGGCACTTGGCTTCCCGTTAGTGCCCCGTGGCCAGCAGCTTGGACCTGAGGAGGTGGCTCCTGGCCACGGCGGTGGGGGGTCCACGCTGCCCAGACAGGAGCCCTGTGGGCAGGTCTCTAGTAGAAGGATGGAGATGCCAAGGGCGTGGACCCCCCCCACCCAGGCTGATAGATGGGCACCCAGGCTTCCCCCGAAGACCCTGCACTCAGACCCTTGCGTCCCCTGGCCATATGATGGTGGCAGTCAGTCAGTCATTCTTGCAGTTACACGGGAGTGAATTGATCCGTGGGTCCATTTACTTACGGAGCCTTCACGTGGGCCCAGGGGATGGCGGACCCGGGCCGGGGCAGGGAGTGCCAGATACGTGAGGTTCCTCGAGATTTTACGGAGCAGGCATATGTGAACCCCGAGATACATTTGGCCCTAACAAGAGTACTGCTTGTCTGCCACGATCAGAGGAAGGTTCAAGAAGGGGGCAGACAATTCTCCCAGGGCAAGAGTGGGGGTAGGGATGGGTGGAAATGGGCTAGAAAGACTTGAGTAAGGAGGGATTCCTGAAATGACTTATTCATTCGCCCATTCGTGCATGTGTGTATTCACTCAACAAACGTGTGTGGAGCGCCTAGTGTCCGCCAGGCGCTGTGGCGGGTGCTGCTGAGAAGACGCAGCCAAGGACCTGCTCTCCTGGGGACCACGGCTGCTGGGAGAGACAGGCAGGATTCAGGCCCTTACCACACGATCAAATGGAAAAGTGCACTGAGTTACAGGGCTTTGAAGAAGAGGTTCATGGTACTAATGGCGACTAATGGGAATGAATGGAACAAGGAGGTCGAGGTGGCTTCCCTGAGGAAGACTTGAAGGATGAATAGGAGATACACGGGGAAAGAAGGAGGAAAAGGTGATTCAGACTGCAGGAACAGCATGTGCAAAGGGCCTGTGGTGAAGAGGCTGGATGAAGACCAGAGTGGCTAGACCACTGTGACAGAAGGGAGTGTGATGAGAACGAGTCTGGGAAATGGGCGGGTTGATGGCACCCGAGCTCGTGGGTCCCGATGGAGTCGGGATTTTATGAACAAAAGGAAGGTTTTTTGTTTTTGGGATTCTAGTTTTGGGGGCACCTGGGTGGCTTAGTCGGTTAAGCATCTGACTCTTGATTTCGGCTCGGGTCATGATCTCACGGTGGTGGGATCAAGCCCCCCTTCTGCACTGAGCACGAACCCTGCTTGGGATTCTCTCTCTTTCCCTCTCCCTCTGCCCCTCTCCTTCATTCTCTTTCTTTCTCTCAAATTAATAAACAAACATTAAGAAAGAAAGAATGAAAGCTGACTAAAATTAAAACATTTTTAAAAATTTTTTAAATGTTTTTTTAATTTATTTCTAGGAGAGAGAGAGAGACAGCGTGAGCAGGGGAGGGTCAGAGAGAGAGGGAGTCACAGACTGAAACAGGCTCCAGGCTCTGAGCTGGCAGTCAGCACAGAGCCCGACGCGGGGCTCGAACCCACGAACCGCGAGATCGTGACCTAAGCGAAAGTCGGACGCTTAAGCGCTAAGCCACCCAGGCGCCCCAAATTAAAAATTTTTTTATGTTTAAGTAATCTCTACACCCAACATGGGGCTTGAACTCACAACCCCAGGCTCAAGAGTTGCACACTCATCTGACTGAGCCAGACAGGAGGCTCAGGGAAGGTGTAAGCTGTGGTGAAAAATGACCCAGTTCTTGTGCCAGACAGGTGTGGGGGGCCCGAGTGGAAGTGGTGAGTCCAGGAGGGGTATTGGGGTGTCTGCATAAACAGGAAGAGTGACCTTGACCAAGGACACAGTCAGATCAGAGGACGAGGGAATTGGACGTGGAGGTGAAGGTCGGGAGGTGTCAAGGTCTGAGACACTGGGCTGCTGGATGGGAAGAGTGACAATGACCATCATTTTATTAAGTGTGATAAGTGATATTTTCATTTCCACTAAGGACAGGAATAGAGGCCTGGCCGAGCTCTGAGTGGGGAAGAAGGGAACGGTGTTTAGGTTCTGTTACGCGGAGTTTAATCCGTTTCCTCGTTAAATCTGCACCACAAACCTGAGAGAGGAATGCTAGTATCTCTTTATGAAGAGAGAGATCTCAGGAAGGTAAAGTTATCTGCCCAAGGTCACAGCTGAGAACAGGTTAAGTCTCTACCAGCCTCTTCTCTCTCTCTCTCTTTCCCTTTTTTAAGTTTATTTATTTATTTTGATAGGGGTCGGGGTAGGGCAGAGAAAGAGGGAGAGAGAGAGAGAATCCTAAACAGGCTCCAAACTGTCAGCCCAGAGCCTGCTGTGGGGCTTGAACTTGCAAACCGCGAGATCATGACCTGAGCCAAAATCAAGAGTCAGACACTTAACTGACTGAGACCCAGGCGCCCCCAGCCTCCCTTTTTTAAACAAAACAAAACAAAACAAAACAAAACAAAACAAAAAACAAAGGCGCCTGGCTGGCTCAGTCGGTTAAGCGTCTGACTTCGGCTCAAGTCACGATCTCACGGTTGGTCAGTTCGAGCCCCGCATCTGGCTCTGCGTGGACAGCATGGAGCCTGCTTTAGGTTCTCTGTCTCCCCTTCTTTCTGCCCCTCCCCTGCTCGCTCTCTCTCTCCAAAATAAATAAACACTTAAAAACAAAACTGAACAAAACGTGGCAAAACATCTTTCTTTCTCCTTGGCATGCTGAGAGCTGAGGTAGAAGCTCGGGGCCGGAAGGGGGAACCTCGGAGGGCTCCTTACTCTGGAAGAAGTGAGGGATGGCTGGACCCCTGTCGCTGATGAGCCCCCAGGCACCCCGCCAGGAACTGGCCGCAGGGGTGACCCAAGACGTTCTTGACCCAAGCCAGAGGCCAGCTCTTTCCCTCTCTGCGTCTCCCACCTCTTGCTCCTGGGAAATCCTGGGCAGACTCTAACCTCAGCCCCGCTTCTTCTGTCCCCGCACGGGCAGATCAGCGCCACCCGGCCCCGCGCTTCCACTGCCTGCGGCCTCTAACCGGACACTGTTTGCCCCCAGCAGGCCCTCCCAGCACACTGTTCCTGGATCTCATCTTCTCTGGAGCCTGAGCAGAGGGTGCCCCGGCCAGCCCACTGACCTTTGTCCATCTGAGCCCTGGTTAATTTTTGCCCGATCTGTGGGCTGTGGGGCTCCTCCCTCACCCCCTCGGGGATATAAGTCTGGCCAGACGCTGCCCTTGCTCCTCGCCGTCCTGAAGCTCCCCCAGCTCCCCCCCTGCCCTCACCATGGCCCAGGGCTTCTACATTTCCAAGCCTGTGGGCATCCTGGGCATCCTCCTGGGCGTGGCGGCCGTGTCCACCATCATCGCTCTGTCCGTGGTCTACTCCCAGGAGAAGAACAGGAACGCCGAGAGCTCCATGGCGGCCTCCACGGCGGCCCCCTCCACGGCCCCCTCCGCGGCCCCCTCGGCGGCCCCCTCCGCGGCCCCCTCCGCGGCCCCCACCGGCCCCACCACCACCGCGGCGACCACCTTGGACGCAAGCAAGCCGTGGAATGTCTACCGCCTGCCCGAGACACTGACTCCCGTGTCCTACAACGTGATGCTGAGGCCCTACCTCAGCCCCAACGATAACGGCCTGTATGTCTTCACGGGCACAAGCACCGTTCACTTCCTGTGCAAGAAGCCCACCGGCGTCATCCTCATCCACAGCAAGAAGCTCAACTACACCCTAGCCCAGGGGCACAGGGTGACCCTGCAGGCCCTGAACGGCTCGCAGCCCCAGCCCACCATTGTGAGCACTGAGCTGGTAGAGCTCACCGAGTACCTGGTGGTGCACCTCCAGGAGCCGCTGGTGGCCAGTGTCCTGTACGAGATGAACAGCACGTTTCAGGGCGAGCTGGCCGACGACCTGGCGGGCTTCTACCGCAGCGAGTACTCGGAGAACGGGGTCAAAAAGTAAGTTGCGGCTGGGTCTGCTCAGTTGGGGGCGGGTCCTAGAGGCTGAGGCACAGCTGGATCCTGGGGGCCAAGGGAAGTTTTGGATCGCGGGCCTGGAACCCTCCTGGAGACTTCGGCTGGCCGTGACTCCATCCGCAAGGGGCTGGTGGGGCAGCTCTTCCCTGGGGGGCTTCCGTACCCTACATCAGGGGCAAGCGGCGAAAGAACCCCTCGGACAGGTGGAGAGAAACTTTCCCAAGGCCTCCTAGTTAATTCAGGCAGGGATTCTGTCGGGACTTTGACCCTGACTCCTGAAGGAGCTCTGATCTCCCCTAGGAACCAGCCTGTCAGGAACCAGAGGCTGTCCGGGGGAGGCGGGGAGGGCAGGGATGAGGCCGGAGCAGGCTTTCGTGCCCAGCAACACCCTAAAACCCCCACTCTGCCCACCCTTCCGCCAGCACACCCTCTAATATCCTGGTTTGGGCAGGGTGCTGGCCACAACACAAATGCAGGCTACAGAAGCCCGGAAATCCTTCCCGTGCTTTGACGAGCCCGCCATGAAGGCCACGTTTAACATCACCATCATCCACCCCAACAACACGGTGGCCCTGTCCAACATGCTGCCCAGTGGTGAGTGGATCTGTCCCGGGGCCACAGAGCCTTGGGAAGAAGGCAGCCCGGGCTGGGATGCAGTGCAGGGGAGAGGCGGGGCTGTGATGCGGGGCAGGGGAGAGGAGACAGGGGGCAGCCCCGGGCTGGGATGCAGGGCAGGGGAGAGGAGACAGGGGGCAGCCCCGGGCTGGGATGCAGGGCAGGGGAGAGGAGACAGGAGGCAGCCCTGGGCAGCGAAGCAGGGCAGGGGAGAGGAGACATCTTCACATGCCTGAACACCCCATGTCAGGCCCCAGCATCCCGCTTCCTGAAGATCACGCCTGGACCATCACTGAGTTCGAGACCACACCTGTAATGTCGACCTACCTGCTGGCGTACATCGTCAGCGAGTTCACCTGTGTGGAGACAAGAGCACCCAGTAACGTCCTGGTGAGAACTGGGCCCGCCGCTCCTTCCGGGGGATTGGCCCTGGCCTGAGGGGTATTCCCGTCTTAGTCATTCCCATCTCAGCCCCTGAGTTGTTAGGCCGGTGTTCACATCCCAGCTCTGAGTGATCTCTGGCAAGTGTCTTAAGTTCTCTGACCCTCAGTCTCTGCATCTGAAAAATGGGCCTGTCCTCATGAAGGGAGCTCCCAATGCACGGGTGGCAAACAGATGGTGGCCATGGCTATTATTCCCAAAGCTCCTCCCTAGACTCCCAGCGCCTCAGAGACCCCCCCCCAGCCCCTCAAACCTAGTGCCCCCCTTACCAGCCTGGGGTCCCTGGGGCTCAGTACCCATCAGGGGGCCCTCTGACCTACCTCCGTCCTCTTTGCAGATCCAGATCTGGGCCCGGCCCAGTGCAATCAACCAGGGCCATGGCAATTACGCCCTGAAAGTGACAGGCCCCATCCTAGACTTCTTTGCCCAACATTACAACACGTCCTACCCACTTAACAAATCGGGTGAGCGAGGGGGCATTGTGGGGGGTGGTCAGTGGATGGGGTTCCCTGCGCAGAGGCCATCCTGACGGCCCTCCCCGACCCCCCCACCGCAGACCAGATCGCCTTGCCTGACTTCAACGCCGGCGCCATGGAGAACTGGGGGCTGGTGACCTACCGCGAGAGCGCACTGCTGTACGACAATCAGTCCTCCTCCATCGGCAACCAGGAGCGTGTGGTCACCGTCATCGCCCACGAGCTGGCCCACCAGGTAGCCCTGCCCCCGCCCCAGGCAGTGTAGGGGAAGGCGGAGGGGGCTCAAGTCCCCGCTCCACCCTGGGCACCTGCGAAGGGAGGAGGGTCCCACCTGGCCAGATGGCAGAGTCGGGGAGGGGGGGTCACAGTGATGCTGAGCACAAGGGCAGCGGGGCCCGCAGGGCTGACCCTCCCTCCCCAACAGTGGTTTGGGAACCTGGTGACCTTGGAGTGGTGGAATGACCTGTGGCTGAACGAGGGCTTCGCCTCCTACGTGGAGTACCTGGGTGCGGACTACGCGGAGCCCACCTGGAATCTGGTGAGCAGGCTGTCCCGGGCCCCCGAGGTCTGGGGACGAGGGGCCGGGAGGGGTCGGCGGAGGGGAAGACCTGGGACGCCCCCTGCCGGGCCGGCCTCCTGATAGCCATCGGGGCTCTGCAGAAGGACCTCATGGTGCTGAACGACGTGTACCGCGTGATGGCTATCGACGCCCTGGCCACTTCCCACCCGCTGTCAACTCCTGCCTCGGAGATCAACACGCCGGCCCAGATCAGCGAGGTGTTTGACTCCATCTCCTATAGCAAGGTACCGAGACTGTGCGGTGGGGACACAGCCCGGGCACTGGGGGCATCTGCCCTTGTCCAGTGGGGGCACATGGTCTGGCTGGCTCCGCACAGCCTTCTGAGCCCTTCCCCGCCCCCTTCCCCAGGGAGCCTCCGTTCTCAGGATGCTTTCCAGCTTCCTGACTGAGGACCTATTCAAGAAGGGTGTCGCGGTGAGTGCCCGCGGGCAGCTGTGGGGGCTGGGTTTCCTCCGGGCCCCGAGGTGCGTCCCTGAGCCCCGGTCGCCACAGACGTTCAGCTGGGGATCATCGGCTTTGCCCTCACTGTGACCTGTCTTTCCACAGTCCTACCTCCATACCTTTCAATACGGGAACACCATCTACATGGACCTGTGGAAGCACCTGCAACAGGTCAGTAAGCATCAGGCCCCCTGGCGGCCGGCTCGTTGGGGGCCTGCGGGGCCCTAAGTCCCTAGGGGGCAGCACACGTGCAGATGTGTAGGGGAGTGTGTCCGGCTCCACTGCTCATCAGCCCAGGCGGGTCATTTGAAGCCCAGTTGCTTCTCTGTAAGGTGGGTGCCGTGATAGCTCCTTGGAGGAGGCGTTGTGAGACTGTGGCTCAAGACCGTGGGCAGCTTGCCTCCCCCCCTCCCCCGCAGTGAGCTCCGTGAGCCGAGCGGCCCCCCTGAGCCTAGTGGTGAGGAGCCAGCCTGCTCCGTCCCTAAGCCCGCCTCTGCCTGGCACTCTGGAGCCCGTCTTTCTCTGTACTCAGCACTCCTGGCCGCCCTGTGCCCCGGCCGGCCGGCCCCTCCCAGGCCTCAATCTGCACACACCAGCATCCCCCGCCCCCCAGCACGAACTTTGACCCTTCCACCCAGCCCTGCCTTGCATTCCGGGCACTCAGACCCCAAGCACCTCCCATCTGCAGCGCAGACCCTCCGACCACCCCTCTCCCCGCTTCCCGCCTCCCCTGCCTCTGCTATGGCTGGAGTCTGCACACTTCCCCATCTTCCCTCATAGCTCCCCTTCCCTTGGGGCTCCTTCCCGGCCCCTCCTCAGCCTGACTGATGCCTCCGGAATCCCGACCCCAGGCCCACCAGGGAGGGGAGACCCAGGGCCTTGTCACAGAGTCACAGCTGGGCTCCAGTGCCCTCCATGCTGGTCTCTGGCCCACATTCTATCTTCTGGTTCCCCCTCTTCCCCTCTTCCCCGCACCGTCCCACAACCTGCTCACAGGGGGCTTCTCACTGCCTTGGCCCCTCCCCTTCACATCCACCATCTTCCTCGCCTGCCTCAGTTTCCCGCTCCTTCCTGTCCTCACAGCTGAGCCCTCCTCCACGCCAGATGCCTGTCTGGCTCCACCCCTCCCTCCAGTGCACTCCCTCTGGGCCTGAACCCCACCACCACCCTTGCAGCAGCCCCCAGCTCCCCTCCCTGTGCAACTTGTGCCCTTCTGAGACTCTTCTTCCTCTTTCCTGTCTTAATTCTCTCAGTTATTAACAGACGTGGTTGGGTTTTTGCTGTGATTACTAAGGCAGTGTGTGTGCGTGGAAAAAGATGAAAAAAGGACCTCGGAAGACAATAGCAATGACCCTGAGCCCATCCCCAGATCACCCACACCCGCTCCCTCTCTCTGCACCTGCCTGTGATGCAGACTGGGTTTTCCCTCCTCTCCCCTCCCATCCTCCAGGGCCCCAGCTGGGCTGGGACCCAGGCTCCTGCCTACATGCCCCCTCCCCTGCCCAGGGCTCCTCTGCTGTCCCTTCCTCCCCGCAGAGTGGGTCTGCCGAGGCTGCCCTGGGTGGGCCGCTGACGGCCATGCACCGTCTCGTTGTGCTCCAGGTTGTAGACAAACAGACGGTCGTCCAGCTGCCTAACAATGTGAGTGACATCATGGACCGCTGGACCCTACAAATGGGTTTCCCCGTCATCACCGTGGACACCCGGACAGGCACCCTCTCCCAGCAGCACTTTCTCCTTGACCCCGAGTCCGTTGTCACCCGCCCCTCACAGTTCAAGTGAGCAGCAGGGGGCACTGAGGCGGGCATCCCTCGGGGGCCCTGCAGGGCGGGGCTGTGCTGCCCCTTGACCATAGTGGGTCCTGACCTGCTGCAGTCCCGGCCCCAGCGGCTGGAGACGGGCTCTCCCTCTCCGGCCGGGGCGGTGGGCGTGCTCGGGGCCCGGACCGGGCCGGGCAGGGCCTGGGGGCCTGGGACCGAGCGCGGCGGTCTCTCATCACCTGGTGTCTGGGCCTCTGTTGCAGCTACCTGTGGATTGTCCCCATCTCTTCCCTCAAAAACGGCAAGATTCAGCAGGACCACTGGATGCCGGGCGTCAAACAAAGTAACCCAGCCCCGCCCTCTCAGCCCCCCCCTCCCCCCCCAGCTCCTGGCCCGCGTTCCGGGGTTACGGCCGGCCTCAGCGCCGGCTTCCTTCATCATCTCATTCAACAAATGGAGCCGACTCCTTTGTTCTAAGCCCTAGTCGGCTGCTGCTCAGCTCTGTGACCCTGCGCAGGTCACCATTCCTCTCTGGTCTCCCGTTTCCTCGTTTATAAAATGGGACTGAGGACAATAGCGACCCCACTGAGTTGCGTGGGGATTAAAGAAGAGAAGCCACACGAAGTGTTTAAAACAGCGCCTGGCGCAAAGTGTGAACAGCCCTACTCTACCAGGTACTGAGCAAACCGGTCAAGGCAGCTCATCCTCTGCTGGGGCCAAACCCGCAGATGAAGAGAAGGAAGATAAGCAGTTAAAACCTTCTAGAGCTATGATGGATGCCTTAACAGAGGCATGCACGGGCTGCTGGGACCTGGGGCAGGGAGCCAGGAATAAGAAAGACTCGGCTTCATGGAGAAGTGAGGGAAGGCTTCCTGGAGGAGGTGAGCTGAGTCTTAGAGGAAGAAAAGGAGTTAGCCGGGCTCCTGGCGGCCGAGGAAAGAGCAAAGGCGAGGCATGGAGGTAGGAGAGGACTAAGGACTGCGGCACAAATGTGCCCTGAAGGTGAGGCTGCGATCCGTACGTACCACGTACGACACGATGGCTGTGGCCCCTGGGCAGGAAGAGCCAGGGCAGGTGGGAAGTGGCGGGCGATTGAATCTGCCCTGCGGGTGTGGACGGCCCCCTCTGGGTGCTAGGAGCCAGGCTGGAAGGGGGGGCACAGAGAGGCAGCACTGGGGGTACTGACTGGCCGGGAGGCATTGCCCGGGCCTCCCACTAGGTGACTAGGGTAAGATCAAGCTGTTTCAAGTCCAGAGAGGAGGAGGAGGGGGAGGAGGGGGAGAGGAGGAAGGCACGGCAGCCCGTGGAGTTGGTCCGAGTGTGCTGAGGCTGTGCAGATGGAGACCTCTGGGTGGCTGTCACTGGCCCAGCCGTGCGGAGCCCGTGGGAGACAGGTGGGCACGAGGGGCAGAGTGGACACGTGGTCTGGCAGCCCCGTCCGACGAACGCCCCTTTCCCCCTTGGCTTGGCATCGCCCGAGGCTTGCGGGCCAGCCGGTGCCAGGCTGCACGGGAGGCCTGGAGAAGGACAGGCCAAGCAGCCGCACCTGACCCCGGTCTCTCCCCGCAGACCAGAGCGACCTGTTCAAAACCGCAGCTAACGAGTGGGTTCTGCTGAACCTCAACGTGACGGGCTACTACGTGGTGAACTATGACAACGACAACTGGGAGAAGATCCTGACTCAGCTGGAGAGGGACCGGTTGGTGGGTGTCTACCGCCACCCCCCGCCCCTGCCCCCGGCCCCGGCCCTGCCCCTGCGAGCGGCGGCCTGAGCTCACACGCTCCGTGGCCCCTTCTAGGTCATCCCTGTCCTCAATCGGGCTCAAGTCATCCACGACGCCTTCAACCTGGCGAGGTGAGCACCCCCTTCCTCCTGGGGCCCAGCCAGTCTCAGGCCTGTGCTGTTCTGCGGCGACAGCCCCGGGCACCCCGCAGCTCCCCATGCTTCTCGGCTCCCCTCCCTGGGCCCCCACGCCCCTGCAGACTTAGTGTCACAGCCCATACGTCCCGGATAAGGAATCTGAGACTCTGTTTGACTGAGTAACTTACCTGGGGTCACTCGGTAGCTCCGTGACAGCCAGACGCAGGCCTGGCTGACACACTGTGCTCCATAGCACCAGGCTTTTTCTGAGGACTGACTGTGTGCTCGGCCACCATGCCAGATGCTAAAAACAGTCTGGGAAGTACAGGACAGGAGAGAGGCAGCATGGATACACAGATATTTATTCAGCACCTACTGTGTTCCCAGCAGGTGCTAAGCTCTGACTTAGGTGGTGTCACCCGTGGACAGGGACATTTATGAACCGCAGGTGCACAGATGGTCTGAGGAGGAGAAGGGGGGAAGGCACAGGGGGCCGAGCAGAACAGAGAAGAGGTGGACGGAATAAAGAGCATAGGCTCTTTGTCCTTATGTGTCTCAGCTCTGTCTCTCATGGCTGTGTGGCCTTAGGCAGGTCCCTTCACCTCTCTGAGCCTCAGTTTCCCATTTGTAAAATGGGGCTACTATGCAGGGGAATGTGATTGGCAGGGGGTGAAGGCAGGGCCTGAGCTGACCTTGTTTTCGGTACCACCCAGCCTCCATGTCCCCCATCCCTACACCCGGCCCCACCCCTACCTACCCCCCATACCATCCGCAGTGAACCCTGGAGCTGGCTCATTTGGGGCTCTCAGGTTTCAGGAAGGGGTTGGGGCCCCCTTAGTGGGGCTGGACTCAATGAGGGTTCTTACCTGAGCCCCTGTGTCTGTCCCCAGTGCCCAAAAGGTCCCTGTCACTCTGGCGCTGAACACCACTCTCTTCCTGAAACAAGAGACCGAGTACATGCCCTGGGAGGCCGCCCTGAGCAGCCTCAGCTACTTCAGGCTCATGTTCGACCGCTCCGAGGTCTACGGCCCCATGAAGGTACGGAGGGGCGGGGCAGGCTTCGAGGGCCAGTTCACCCAGTGCCTGAAATGCACCATCAGGGGGTTAATAGAAGTATCGTCTGGAGGGGTGGTAGCCTTCAGGCAGACGGGACGACGGGTCCTTGGCTGAGAGCAGGCTGGGCAGAGTGGTGGTCCGAGGCGTGTGGGGTGACGGGAGCAGGTACTGACAAGGTGAGCAGCTCAGGTAGGGCCGAGAGAGGACACAGACGGGGACGCCTGGACGGCTCAGTCAGTTCAGGTTCGACTTGGTTTCAGCTTAGGTCACAGTCTCATGGTTTGTGGGTTCGAGCCTCGCTTTGGGCTCTGCACTTGCCTGCTTGGGATTCTCGCTTTCTCTCTCTCTCTCCCTCCTTCTTTCTCTGCCCCTCCTCCGCTTGCTATCTCTCCCTCCCTTTCTCTCAAAATAAGTCAATAAACTTAAAAGGAAAGAAAGGACACAGACTTGTAGCAAAGTTTGCTGATTTGGCAGTTAGCACTGTCAAAGGGTCCAGAAAGGACCTTCTTCGCAAGGTGGCCTTCTACCAGCTGTGTGGCTTTGGACAACCCTCTCCTGTGAATCGCTCTGTGAAATGAGCCGGCCTGTATCATCCTAGCCCACGGGCGGAGAGGGAGATGCAGGTGTTAACGGCTTTGAAGTTGGGGTGTGTGGGGGGTGGCGGGGTTGAGGCTCCCATGAGGAAGACCAGAGAGAAACTCAGCATGATTTACAAAAGACCAAACCAAACCAAAACTCAAAAAAAAAAAAAAAAACCATAAAAAATATCCAGTAGTTGGGGATCGGTTAGGTAAGCTACAATATCCACTTGATGGAATCTCACGAAGCTGTTAGATAAAAACTTGAAGAGATCATTTTTTAAATAAAAAGTTTTCTCATTAACTTCCTATGAGGTTGAAAGAGGTTTGATGGCAGGCGAGATTTTAACTCTTTAACCTGCCTACCTGAGATTTACTCTATCCTAATAGAGTCACAATATTTGATCAACTCAGTATTCAGCATGTACTGTATTGTGGTTCTTGAAAAAATTTTTTGATGTTTATTTTTGAGAGAAAGAGACAGACAGAGAGTGGGAGAGGGGCAGAGAGAGAGGGAGACAACAGAATTCGAAGAGGCTCCAGGCTCTGAGCTGTCAACACAGAGCCCAACATGGGGCTCGAACTCACGAACTGCAAGATCATAACTTGAGCTGAAGTCAGCCGCTTAACTAACTGAGCCACCTAGGCACCCCTGAGCACATGACTCTTGATCTCAGGGCCGTGAGTTCAAGAACCACGTTAAGTAGAGATTACTTTTAAAAAAAAAATGTGTGTCCATGAGTGTGTTCCCCTGAGACCAGGGAATCATCCTCTATCTAATGAGGCTGGTGATGCTCACTTTCTATGATGCTCACGGGGGAGAAAGAAACTGACTGGAGGTACCTGCAGTCAGGATATGAACTTTCATCTCTGGCCCTCTCTGCAGTCGGCCAACCCTTCTGCTGTGTCTGGGGTCCCAGATGCTGAGCCCCACTGATTCAGCCTCACCTGTGGGGGGGCGGGGCGGGGAGGGGTGTTGCCCTGCTTCAAGGAGGGACTTGGCCCCCTTCACCCTTTGTCCAGCCCCTGCCTCACCCCTGTCCCCTGCAGACCCTGATTCTGAGCCACGTCTGGGCAAGCCTTGCTCCGGGCTCCATCTCCCTGCGCCCTCCCACCCCCACCCCGGGGCAGGCCCTTTGATAGCTCTGTCACTCTGCCTGGTCCCTCTCTCCTTCTACTTTGTAGCTCCCTGACTGCGTGGGTCTCTCATGCGCTCTTATCTCCCTTTCTATTCTCTTTGCTCTTGGAGGTGTATTCCTTTGATGTTTGGACATGGATTCTGGTTGGGGCCCGTGACAGTTCTACCGTGTGGAACCCAAGCCTTCAAAGGTTTTTTTTTTTTTTTTTTTTTAAGTTTTTAATGTTTATTTTTGAGAGACAGAGAGACAGAGTACCAGTGGGGGAGGGGCAGAGAGCGAGGGAGACGCAGAATCTGAAGAGGCTCCAGGCTCTGAGCTGTCAGCACAGAGCCCGACACGGGGCTCGAACTCAACAGGCTGTGAGATCATGACCTGAGTTGAAGTCAGACGCTTAACCTACTGAGCCTCCCAAGCGCCCCAACAAAGGGTTTTAATAACATGAGGCAGAGCTTACGTAACAGGGTCAGGGGCAAGGGCAGCAGACAGAATGACGGATATGCTGGGTAGAAAAGGAAAAAGAAGGGGTAAACTCAGCAATTTGAAAATCACGGTTTGGGAAAGCTCCTGGGCAGTTTTTATTTTCTGCATATGCTGCTCTGTGTTTTCCACACTCCTCACAACAGACGCTGGAAACTCACCGTCGGGGTGGGGGCGGGGGGACCCAACACTATTAAAAACTGATGACACCGAGACCTGATGTGTTGGAGCTGACGGAGGCTGTCAGGTGGGAGCACCTCAGACCAGTGATCTGAAACCTGGGCAGGGCGGCCCCTTCGAGTGCTGCTTGCCTCGGCGGGGCCCCGAGCCTCCGGCCTTCCCGCCTCCATAGCCATTAGCCCTTGGTGCACCCGGATCCCCCTCAGAGGCTGCGTGGACCCCAGAAAGGCCGGGCAGCAGTCTTGCCTTCAAAGCTCTCCGTGTTTTCCTTTCCCCAGAGCTACCTGAAGAAGCAGGTCACGCCTCTCTTCGACCATTTCGAAGTCCTCACCCTCAACTGGACAAGCCACCCGCAGACCCTCATGGAACAGTGAGTGTGCCTGTTGAGAAGCCCGGAGCCTCGCTCCTCTGCTCATTTCTGGAGGCCCAGACACCCCCCAGCTGGGGGTCCAGAGCAGAGCCCTGCAGCGCCCTCGGGAGGCCGTCTCTTGGCCAGACTGGAGGAGGGGGCCCGCCCTGAGGCCCTGGGCGGCCCGGGGGACCGCCTGATCTCTTTGTACACAGGACCTACCTGAATCTCTGAGGTCCCCTCAGGGGCTTGGTCATTCAGATTCTCGGTGTCCGGGTGGGGGCTCGAGCCTGTGCTGGCCTCTCTTAGGTCCCCGGGCTGCCCAAGGCACAAAGCAATTTGGGGGACCCAGTGAGCAAGGGGGTCTGCAGCCTCAGACAGAGCCGCCCAGCCCTGCCCTCCTGCCCGGAGCTGTGGGTCAGCAGGGGGTGGGAGGGTGTCCTTGCCCGAGTCTGGCCCACGTGACCCACGGGCGTGCTGACCGAGTGTCATCCCCGGGGGCAGGTACAACGAGATTAACGCCGTCAGCACCGCCTGCTCCTACGGGGTTGCCAAGTGTGAGAAGCTGGTCTCAACGCTCTTCGCCGAGTGGAAGAAGAACCCCCAAAATAACATGTGAGTGTATCCCCTGCTCATCCCCGAACCTTCATCAGTCCCCGAAGCCCACAGCCGTGTCCTCATCGCACCCGCGTCCCCCGACTCCCCTGCCGCGGCTCCAGCCCTGACACCCCGATCCCTCGCCAGGATCCACCCCAACCTGCGGTCCACCGTGTACTGCAACGCCATCGCCCAGGGTGGCGAGGAGGAGTGGAACTTCGTGTGGGAGCAGTTCCAGAAGGCCGAGCTGGTGAACGAGGCTGACAAACTCCGCGGAGCCCTGGCCTGCAGCAATCAGGTCTGGATCCTGAACAGGTGAGGACCGGGGGACCCATCGGGGGCTGTGTAAGTGTGTAAGTTCCCCTCCCCGCTGGGGACCGGCACCCCCCCCCACCCCCGTGCCGGAGAGCAGGAACCAGCCAGGCCTCCGTACCCCCATTCACGGCATCCTCACAAACCTGTGCGGTGGGGCGGCAGCTTCCCCATTTTGCAGATGAGGGCACTGAGGCTCAGAGAAGCGAAAACAACTTGCCCAAAGTCCAGGGGCTTTAGTAAGTGGTGGAGCCAAGATCTGAACCCAGGTCTGGGCCTACGTCCCACGCTTTTACCGGCAGCTCGGTTTTCCTCTTTATCAAGGGCTCTGGCGCAGCTGGACCTGAATCCTTTTGAATGTCCAGCTGGGCACGCCCCACGCCCTTGGGATGAGGGCTGCTGGCTCCTACTGGGTACATGCATGCCACCCCTCCCGGACCCCAGTAAAGAAAAGCCTCCCTCAATGTCAAAGACAAAAGTGCCTGCCATACCTGGTACGGGGCTCCTGGCTCTGGTAGGATGGAGGGAGGTAGGATGAAGGGGTCTTCAACCCTCAGTAGGCTGAAGGGATACGGAGAAGATGCCGGAGAGGTGTGGGGGAGGGGAGGGCGGGGTCCCTTGGCTTCCTGGGTTCTCTGTCTCGAATCCTCCGACTGCAGCCCTTGGAAGTGGTCCGGAACTCAGCATCCTTCCCTCACAGGTTCCTGAGTTACACCCTGAACTCCAGCCTCATCCGGAAACAAGATGTCACCTCCACTCTCAGCAGCATTGCCAACAACGTCGTCGGGCAAACCCTGGCCTGGGACTTTGTCCAGAGCAACTGGAAGAAACTCTTTGAGGAGTGAGTCTGCAGGAGTCTGGGGGCGGCGAGCAGTACCCGCCAAGGCTGAGGAGCCCTGTAGGGGGAGGGGGAGGTCTGTGTGCCTGAGACATCACAGGGCTGGAAGGCGAGGGCTGTGGGCACCTCCTAGGAGTGCTGGACAGTTATCCCAGCTTGAGGTCAGGCGGGGGGGGGGGGCGGGGGAGGGGGCAAAAACCGAAAGACAAGGTGGGGTAGGGGCTGTCCTTTCTCCCACTTGGAGCAGAGAAAGTCTGTTCCTCTGGAGACCTGGGAGCGAGGACACAGATCCAACCTGTGCTGGTGTCCCTAGGGGTATCACCTTGGGCGTGTCACTTAATTTCACCTACAGGATGGGGACAGTCGCAGAGGGGCGTGCACATCAGTTCTCTGCCCCTGACGGTTTCTTCTCTCTCCTCACCCCTGCAGCTACGGTACTGGCTCCTTCTCCTTCTCCAACCTCATCCAGGCAGTGACCCGACGATTCTCCTCTGAGTTCGAGTTGCAGCAGGTAAGTTAAAAGCCCGGGGCCCTAGGGCGGCATCCAGAGGCCCATCTTGAGTCTAAACGGGCCGCCATTCAGCCAGCGCCCCCTGGGTGTGGTCACTCAACCGACTGAGCCACCCAGGTGCCCCTCTACCTGGGGCACCTCTTAAATCCTCTAGGTTGTTTCTTTTAAAATTCATTTTGCAGCGATATGTATGTTTGAATCAGAAGCTAAAGGCAACTCATTGTGTTAGGTTGATTTATCTTTTTTTAACTGAGATATAATTAATGTACTATCAAACTCACCACGTCAAATGGCTTTCAGTATATTTACAAGCTTGTACAACCATCACCACCATCTGTTTCCAGAACATTCTCATTATCCCCAAAAAGAAACTGTGGCAGTCACTCCCCAATCCTCTGTCCTCAGCCCCTGGCAGTCACTAATCTACTTTCTGTCTCTATGGATACGCATATTCTGGACATTTCATAAAATGGAATCACATAATATGAGACCTTTTGTGGAAGTTTCATCCATGTTATAGCAGACCACTCCTTTTTATGGCTGAATAATATTCCGTTGTATGGATATAACACGTTTGTTTATCCATGGATCAGTCTGTAGACGTTGGATTGTTTCCACTTTTTGACCATTATGAATAACACCGTTACGAAAGTTCAAGTACAAAGTTTTGAGCAAACGATTATGTTCATATCTCTTGGGTGTACACCTAGGAGGGGAACTGATGGGTCGTTTGGTAACTTTATGTTTAACTTTTTGAGAAATTGCCAAAATGTTTTCTAAAGTAACCAACATACTTTCCAATGTCAGTATAGGGGGGTTCGGTTGTCTTTATGTCTTTGGACACTTGTTACGTTTCTTTCCTCCCTCCCTCCCTCCCTCCCTCCCTTCCTTCCTTCCTTCCTTCTTATAGCCATTCTGTGGGTGCGAGGTACTACGAATTGCATTTCTCTAGCGAGTGATGACGTTGTGCACCTTTTCATGTGCTTATTGGCCATTCATATATCTTCTTTGGAGAAGTGTCTGTTCATATCCTTTGCCCGTTTTTTAATTGGGATACTTGTCTCTTTATTTTTGAGTTGTAAGGGTTCTTTATGTATTCTGGATACTAGACTCTTATTAGAAGTCTGATCTGCAAATGTTTTCGTCCATTCTGTGGATTGCCTTTTTACTTTCTCAATCATGTCATCCCAAACATTAAAATTTTTTTATTTTGCTGAACTCCAGGTTTCTTTCTTTCTTTTTTTTTTTTGAACTCCAGCTTTCTAATTTTTCTTTTATGGCTTGTGTTTAGGCATATCAGAGAAACAATTGCTTAATCCAAGGTCATGAAGATTTATAGAGGCTTTTTACTAAGAGTCTTACTATTTTAGCTCTTACATTTAGGACTTTGATCAATTTTGGCTTAATTTTTGTATATGATGTGAGGTAGGGTCCAACTTCATTCCTTTGCATGTGGCTATTCGATTGTCTCACTAGTATCTGTTGAGCAGACTATTCTTGCCCCCACTGATTGGCCTTGGCACCCTCGTTGAAAATCAATTGACTGTAAATGCCAGGGTTTATTTCTGGACTCTTAATTGTATTCCATTGATCTGTCTGTCTCTCCTTCAGCCAGTACCACACTGTCTCCATGACTGTAGCTTTGTAGTGAATTTAGGAACATCAGCCCACTAGCTTTGTCCAAGGTTGTTTGGCTATTCCGAGTCCCTTGCATTTCTTTACGAATTTTAGGATCAGCTTGTCCATTTCTGCAAAAAAAAAGTAGCTGGAATTTTGATATGGATTGTGTTGAATCCGTAGATCAATTTGGGAACCATTGCCATGTTAATAATATTAAATCTTCCAATCCGTTAACACAGATTTGGGTCGATTTGGATATTTTTTCCCTTTTATTTAGGTCTTCTTAATTTCTTTCACCAGCACTTTGTAGCGGCCAGCATTCCCAGTGCTGCATTTCTTTTGTCAAATTTATTCCTCAGTGTTTTATTCTTCTTAATGCTGTTGGAAATGGAACTGCTTTCTTAATTCCATTCTCATATTTTTCATTACTAGTGTCTAGAAATGCAGTGTGATCCTGTATATTGCCCTCGCATCTTACAACCTTGCTGCATTTGTTAGTTTTAGTAGTGGTTTTTTTTTTTTTTTTTTTTTTTTTGGTAGATTCCTTAGGGTTTTCTGTATACAAAATCATGTCATCTGCTTATAGAGATAGTTTTACTTCTTCTTTTCTGGGTCCCTTTTATTTCATTTTCTTGTCTAATTGCCTTGGCTACAACCTCTGATACTAATACATCTTTTAATTTGTGACATCTTTTTCAATTTATTTTTTCATTTTTTTATCTTGTTATTAGTATTTTTAATGTTTATTCCTTTTTGAGAGAGAGAGAGACAGAGCATGAGCAGGGGAGAGGCAGAGAGAGAGGGAGACAGACTCTGAAGCAGACCCCGGGCTCTGAGCCGTCAGCACAGAGCCTGACTCAGGGCTCCAGCTCACAAACCCTGAGATCATGACTGGAGCCGAAGTCGAAGTCGGAAGCTTAACCGACTGAGCCACCCAGGCACCCGAGGCTTTGTTTTTAATCTCTGCCCTAAAGGAGGACTTTATCCCAGGGACAGAGAAGGGCCAGTCCTTTCTCTTCCTGCAGAACAGGCTGTGGCCCCTCTATGTGCAAGGGCCTTACTGGGACGGGAAGGTCCGAGGATGGGGCAGCCCTCCCCGCAAGGCTGTGTTAAAGACCCAGCCTGACGCTGAGAATCTTCCCTTTCCTGGCAGCTGGAGCAGTTCAAGAAGAATAACATGAACATAGGCTTCGGCTCAGCCACCCGAGCTCTGGAGCAGGCCCTGGAGAAGACCAAAGCCAACATCAAGTGGGTGAAAGAAAACAAGGAGACGGTGCTCAGATGGTTCACAGAGAACAGCTCATAGTCCTTGGTCCTTGCAGTCACCTGGCCCCCGTGTGAGATGCCTTTTCTGTGTCTGTCCCAGGGGCCCTCGGCAGGGCCCCTTTCCTGGAGCCTGAGGCAGTGGTGTCCCTGCCCCAGAGACAAAGTCTCTGGTCCCCGTTTTCTCCACTCCGCCCACGGGGCCACTCCAGTTCCTGATGGCCAGACTGCCCTAGCACTTCTCAGTCCCTGCCCCTCCCACCAACTCCCACCCCAGCCCTGGCCCGCGACGCCTGTCACCCAGGGCCCTGGGGCTGATCTCAGGGAAGCCCAACTCTGGGGCCAGATGAGCAGAAGCCCAAGATGGACGATGGATGGCCTTACGGGACAGCCCTGTGCCCTCTCTCACCTTCCCATAAAGTTCCTGGACCTGAGGAATCAACAGGGCAAAGATCTATATATTTTTTTCTAAGAGAAAATGTAAATAAAGGATTTCTAGATCAATGCCTAGACCCATTACTACACTAGAGCAGGAGTGGGTTTGCACAACAGCCAGGAAGACTGGGAGGGAGGGGCCCCGGGGGGCAGGGCACCCCCAGGGAGCACATAGCCACGAGAAGACGGAGGCTAGTGGCTAATGCAGCAGTTCTCATGATGGAGTGGGGACAGCGAGGCCTTGGGGCCAGGCTGAGCGGGTCCTGACAGCGGAGGGAATCTTTTTCAGAAAGCAGAAGTTTCCATAGTTTCAGACGCTGCGGTCTGCACCTGCCCCAACGCAAGGGAAGGGAGCAGGGTGCTGAGTGGGCTTCTCTTCTTGTGCTCCAGCCAGCGCCCTGGGGACACCTGGCACGGTGAGAAAAAGGGGCTTGCGGTGAGGACAGCAAGCGCTGGGACCCAGGCCTGGTCTGACCACCCAATGGCCATAAGCACATCCCGCCTCCTCTCCAGGAGTCAGGTGGAAGGTGATACCAGTGGGTAAGGTGGTTGTTTTTAAAAGCAGTGCGCAGAAGAGGCAGGCGCCCCCCAGATCAACTGGGGCAGCCGGTGGTCAGAACCTAGATTTGGGACCCACATGGCTCCACGGCCCACACCAGCCTTGCTGGGAGTTTCTTAGCAAATGGAGCCAGGTTTTGGGAAGCTCACCGCAGCCTCAGCCCCACGGGACCCAGCTGAGCACCACAGTCTCGTGGAGACAAAGAGGAAGGAAACAGACCACAGGGCTCTCTGGGGGTTTCCTCCAAGGGAGACACTGGGGCTGGGGTCTCGGACGCCAGGGGGCCCGGTTTCAGGTCACAGCTTGGCCCAGCGACCCAAAACCTTGGCTTCAGTTTCCACACCTGCACCTAAAGGCAATGGATCACAGGGGCGGGGTTTGGATCTAAGGAGATTCGTGGGTGTGGGGAGGTGGCGCACTGCCTGGCGCAGGAGGAGATGAGGGTGTTGTTATCCTAAGCCCACTGTCTCCTGGCCCGGCCTCCTGCCTCACAGCCTCTCTTCCCCCTTGGGAGCGGTGGGGGTGGGGTCTGGGACTGGAAGGCTCCTCTGCCGGCCACTGAGGTCCCTACATCAAAGGTAGGGCAGCCGAGAGGCCCAGGTTGTGGGGTGGAGTCCCTCCACCAACGAGGAGGCTCCCCTCAGCCCAGCCCCTGTGGGCCAGCCCTTCTTGTCGCCAGTGCCCTGCAGCCCTGGCTGGCACTTAACATTCTGGGGGTCAGAGGGCAGGCCCCCTCAGGAGGTCCCGGTGGGGGAGGGGCCAGTCCCACCGGGGTCCCTGGGAGAGAGCGGGCCTCTGGGGAGGGGAGTCTGCCGGGATCCTAGCCTCTGTGCCTGGCACCGGGCCAAGTGTTTATGCGCATTATCTCATTTGGGCCTCAACAGCCCCAGGAGATAAGGATTGTTTTTGTCTCTATTTTGCAGATAAGGAAACTGAGGCCCAGGGAGGTTAAGTCAGTAGAGCTAGAAGGAGATGCAGGCTCTGAAGCCCGTGCAGCTGTGGCCGAGTCCGTGGCATCCCCACGTTACACGCTCCCTCCGTGGCTGGAGGAAATCGGTTCCTTGGGAACGCGGTGGGGGTGCACAGGGCCGGACACCGACCTGCGGGTCCTTGCACAAGGTCGCGCACAGAGCTCAGGCTGCCCGCCTGCTCCGCACTCTCCGCTGGGGCCGGCAGGGAAGGCGGCCCCTGGGGATGGGCAAGAAGCAGTGGAGTGTGTGTGTGGGGGGGGGGGGTGTCTCCCCCTCCCCCCACCCAGGAGGCTCCTCAAAAGGCATGTTCTCTACAGCCTTTGAAAGAACATCCAGTCTCTTGACTCCAACCGCAGTCAAGGGCAGCATGCCCGGGATGGAGCAATGGATGGAGGCGAAGGGCTACTCCCCATGGGAGGCAGGCCTGGGCCTTCGCTCGCTCGCAGAGGTTGCCGAGGCCCCCAGGCCCTGCCCGCTCCCTCCCTCCCTCGGGCAGCATCTCAGATACCTCCCAGGCAACTCCAGCTGGTGGCCTCTTGCCTGTCCCTTTGCATCTCCTGGAGGAGTGTCTCTTGAGGGGAGCTCCGGCTGCAGCTGGAGAAAGCCAGTGCTCTCTCGGGCTCCGCTCCAGCCCTTGCAGGGCTTTGGGGCTGGAGGAGCATGGCCATCAGGGACCGGACCAGGGCACACCTCTCCGTCCCCCTAAGGACTTAACCCCAGATCTTTGGGAGCCAAAGGGAGGAGGACAGCTCGGTAGCACTGCCTGTGGCACAGATGCTGTGAGACTGTGTAACCAAGACCTTGGGTCTTCTAGGCAAGGAGAGAGCACTGGATAGGGAGTCAGGGGCCTGACATCCCTACCTCGCTGGGATGCTAGGGAAAGTCGCTCCCCTACCTGGGCTAGTTTCCCCAGTAATAAAATGAAATGGTGAAGAATATCCATTGAACCCAAACCTGGTTGAGCCCCAGAATCCCTGGGAAGGACTTTCTTAAAGCCTCAGGGTCCTAAGCCCCCGCTCAAGGCATCGGATCATGCTCTCAGGGCGGGACCCGAGGACCAGATGCCTCAACACACAGCCAGGTTACGGAACCGCTGGACTGCATCAACTCTTAGGTCACGCAACAAGTACTATGTGCCAAGCCTAAGAACCCTGAGGGGGAGGGTCCATCATTGTCTCCATTTCACAGCTGAGAAAACTGAGGCTCAGGGAGGGTTCATAGTTTGCCCACAGCCATACAGTGAGTAGGAGCTGACTGGAATGTGCACCTAGGTCAGCAGTGCCCTGTGTCCGTCGCTGAGCCGTATACGATCTCGCGAGAGGTTTTCTCATCCTTCCAGGTGTGGTTGGCAGCCTCCTAAGGACGCGAGGCCCCAGGGCAAGAACCAGAACCCTAGAAGGTTAGGGGAAGGAGCCATCTCAGTGCTCACCTAAACCCGTTCCTCTGTTAGATGGGGAAACTGAGGCACAGGGAGGGAGTGACTTGTCTGATGAGCAGGTGATGGGCCACCGTGCAGGGTCAGATGGGTGGCCCTGCACATGGCTGAGAGCTCGAAAAGTTTGTGCTCTGGTCTTCCGGCCTCCCGTTCTCTTGCCCTGCACTGTTACGGTGGCCTCGCTGCCCGGCTGCCATTTCTGCCAGGCAGCCAAAGGACCAAATGTGCCTCTGACCAACTCATCTCGCTTTCCCTACCTTCAATGCCTCCCCATTAGCCAGGAAAGAGGCCATATGGGGGGTGTCCCCACAACCTGGTCTCTGAGCTCCTTTTCCAATTCCATCCATCACCTTTCTCTGTCAACTCTGGACTCGCTGTTTCTTCTGCCTAGGCCACTCTCCACTCACTCCTCTTGGCAAACTCCTGCACATCCTGCAAAACCCGGCCCCTAACATCCTGCAATTCTCCCCCACCTGGGTCAGCAGATATGGAATGACGTCACCACAGCTGCCGGCTTCCGAGCCCATGGCGGCTTTTGCTAATGGATCACAGATGGGATCCTTTCCTCAAGATTCTTTACTCAAGGCAGCATACATCAACGCAGCAGCATTAACCGATCAGGTAACTCAAGGAAGAAACTGTCATCAGCCCCATCTCCTATCAGGCTGTCACATTCTCTCCGGTCCGTAAGCACCTTATATAAACTCCTATCCTTGACCCGGGCTTTGACCACTTACTTGCCTGTAATTTGCCTTGTTAGTTGGGGACTGTTTTCTCTCTGGCATCTAACATTGGGTATTACAGGCTGAATGGTGTTCTAACATGAAGTTCTAGCCCTCAGGACCTCAGAACGTGAGTGCATTCAGAGATAGCGCCTATAAAGAGGTAATTAAGGTAAAATAGGGTCACATGGGTGGCTCTAATTCAGTATGACTGGTGTCTTTACATGAACAGATCAACAGGTACACAGACCGCAGGGTACTTATGTGAGGACACAGTGAGAAAGTGGCCACCTGAAAGAGAGAGGCTTCAGAAGAAACCAAACCTGCTGACACTGACCTTGGACTTCTAGCCTCCCGGACCATTAGAAAATATTCTTCTGTTGTTTAATTCTTCTGATTGGTGATCGTTTATGGCAGCCCTAGATAAACCGGGCGTTGCTGGTGGGAGCTAACCATCATGCATCCTTTAATTTTTTTAAAAATCTTTTTAAATGTATTTTTGAGAGAGAGAGAACGTGAGCAGGGGAGGGTCAGAGAGAGAGGGAGACACAGAATCCAAAGACAGGCTCCAGGCTCTGAGCTAGCTGTCAGCACAGAGCCCGACGCGGGGCTCGAACCCATGAACCGTGAGATCATGACCTCAGCTGAAGTCAGACGCTTAACCAACTGAGCCACCCAGGCGCCCCATCTTTTTTAATGTTTATTTATTTTTGAGAGAGACAGAGACAGAGCACGAGCAGGAGAGAGACAGAGAGAGAGGGAGACACAGAATCCGAAGTGGGCTCCAGGCTCCAAGCCATCAGTGCAGAGCCATAAGCTGGGCTCGAATTCACAAGCCATGAGATCACGACCTGAGCTGCAGTCGGACACTTAACGGCCTGAGCCACCCGGTGCCCCACCATGCATCCTTTAAAAACACGTTCATATAACCATGAAGGAGGCTTCCGGGTCGGCGGGAAGGCACCCAGGAGAATGGCAAAGGTGACGGCGGTGGGGCTGAGGCAGGCGAGCAGGCTTGAACGCGAACCCGCCTGTGTCACCTTGCACATTGGGTCAGGTGGAGCCCTTGCGTGGTGGAGACTGTCACACTGGCAGAGGAGGGCACACTCCAACCTCCGGAGGCCCAGACCCGGGGAGGGGATGAACAGCAAGACGGCTCCCTGCAGGATGGGAACATTCTTCCTTTTCCAGAGGCCATAAAAACCCAGGTCAATAGAAGAAAAACAGACCACACCAACATTTTTGTTGTTTTTTTAAGAAGTACAAAATCTAAGCGTACAAGTTTCTACCCCTCCACCAGCCCCAGCCCGGCTGAGTCTGTGCTCAAGCAGCCACCACCTCCCTCCAGCTCAGGGGGTGCTCTGCAGAGCACTGGGCATTCTGGGGGGGGGGGGTTGTCTAGGAGTGGAGAGCCCGATCCCAGCCCTGAGTCCAGCCAGGGAGGCCACCCACGACCTGTTTCAAACACTGCTTCCATGAAAGCCATCACTTGGAAGAGAGATCCTTGGCTTAAAAAAATAAAAAATTAAAAAACCCAAAACCAAACCAAAACACCTTGAAGACCACAAAGGTAGCACATGGGGAGGGCACCCCACACCGGTGGCCTGACTCCTGGCCGACAAGGGGACAGGCCAGGCCGTCAGTAGAAGACGCCCAGGTGCGCCCCCTCCAAATCTTCTTGCCAAAGTTCAGGGCAGTCACTGAGCTGTACGCCTGAGCTCTGGGAAGGGCTTTCATCACCAAACCGGAAGGCAGGGCCTGGTCCTTGGGCTTCTGAGCCGGGGGGCATCTCTACGCCGGGGCTCCAGCAAGCCCACTGGGGCTGAGGCTGGAGTCTCTGGCACGCGGGGCGGGACAGGAGGGGTGGGGTTCTTGGCAACAGACAGGACTCTGGAGTCACAGAAAGACCCTGCAAGAGACACAAAAGCAGCTGGTTAGTGGGCCACTGCGCTGAGAGAGCCTGAGACCTTGAACCTGGACGCTCCCTGGAGCGTGGCTGGCAGCTTCTGGACAGCCTGGGTACCATGGATGCAGTGGCTCTGGAGAGACACTGCCCTGGTTCAAATCCCACCTCTGCTACTAACTAGTTATAAGAACTCGACCTCTTTAGTTCTGTTTTCTCATCTGTAAAATGAGGATGATGATGACGGTACCTACTCCACAGAGTTGCTGGAGGGCTGGCAGTAAGTACATGTATACATCCAGTGCCAAGAATGGTGCTGGGCAAATTGAGCCGGCAGTAATTTTCGTTTATTAATATAGATGCTCTTTTGTGGACCATGATTCATTCATTTGTGGGCCTCAAGAACAAATCGGAAGGTCATGAGTTCCAAGCCCACAGGGCCGGCCAGACTCCCTACCCCCCAACCCTTAATGGAGCACTTGCAGCGACTTTCTTGCCAGTGGCCCCTGCTGGCGTCCATCCTGCCTCCGGAGCAAGTCCCAAGATCCCCTCACCCCCTTCTGTGAGGCTGTGAAGACTTCTAGGCAGAGGTGGTGGTGGCTTTAACGACCCCACCTCTTTCCCCAAGGCTAGGGTCCTCTCCATACTCTCTTCAGCTTCTCTCTACCCCCACCTGGGTTAGATGAGACAAACCGGGATCTAAAGAGTATGAGATTCTCTGCAGACTAGAGCCAACCCACCCTCCATCCCCAGATGAACTTGGGGACCATCCCGAAGCGGAAGCAGCGGGAACTGGGTGTGTACCTGGTATATTACAGCCAGCTCAGGGGCCGCGGGGGGCGGCGTCCAGGGTGCAGCCTGGTTCCTGGGCTCTGGGGACGTCTGCGTTCCTGAAGAGGCCTGGGGCGGTGTCCAAAGGGCCGCGTCGAGGGCTCTCCCTTGGGACAGCTGCGGGGGCGACTGCGTCCCAGGGTGGTAAGGGGATGTAACCCAGGGACCCATGTCGGGTACCCTGCTCCCCAGGCGCTCGGGGGCCGCTAGTGCTTCGGGACAGGCCGGCGGGGACGCCCAGGACGCCGAGGGGCTGGCGGCTGAGCTCAGCGGCGTCTGCGCCTGCGCGGGGCCGCCGTCGGGGCAGAGCGGGCAGCCCCGAGGCGCCGCAGCGTCGCCGCGCCTCCGGCGCCGGCGCTGCAGGCTCTCCTCGCTGAGGCCCAGCACCGCCGACAGGTGGCCGATGTAGCGGATGGCCAGGCGCAGCGTCTCGATCTTGGTGAGGCTTTGGCCGGCGGGCGCCACGGACGGCGGCAGAAAGCGGCGCAGCTCGTGCAGGGCGCGGGCGAGCGTGCGCATGCGCAGCTTCTCGCGCTCGCTGGCGCTCTGCCGCTGCCCGGAGCCGGGGCCGCTGCGCGCCCGTCCGGGCGCCGTCGCGGCGGCCTCCGCGGTGCGGGCGCTGCGGGCCTGGGGCGCGGGCTGCGAGGGGCCGCGGGCGCCGTCGCAGGGGCATGAGCCCGACGAGTCCGAGGAGGAGGAGGCAGGGGACGTGGAGTCCGGGTGGCCGGCCCAGCCCCAACCCTGGGGGAAGGTCCAGTGGTCTTGGCCCAGGAGGCTGTGCAGAGGAGGGGACTGGGCCATGGCCGGGACGGCTGCGGCGGGGCTCTGGGACGCTGGGCCGGCCACCTCCAGGCCCGAGCTTTTATCCGGACGCAAGGTGAGAGGTGGCCCCCTGCCAGGTTACAGAGAGGTGTCAAAACCCACAGAGCCCAGGGAAGGCCCGGGCAGGGGGGCCTTGGGAAAGCGGGCCCATTTGCGGAGGTGTGGATTCTGACTCCTCGGGGGCTCTAATGGAGGCCCCTGCAGCCCGGGAAGTGTGGGAGAAACAATTCGCATCTGGATGGAGCTGCTAAGCTTCTTACAGAGTTCCCACCCACCCACCCGGGCTCGTGGCGCGGTGAGCACCCAGGAGCCCGACCGTGGTGGGGGTGGGCAGTGCCAGCGTCTGGGGGCGGCCAGGCTGCCTGTCGTGTGAAGAGCGGACCCAGGTGAAGAGCGGCCGCCTCTCTCATCACCAGCCCCGTTGCGTGGAGGGGGCGACTTAGCCCAGTAAGCCCACACCAGCCCAGAGGGATTTGCCCACGGTGTGCGGGGTGGGGTGCAAATAGGGAGACATACAGGCGGATCCTTCCTGGGTTGCCCCTCCCCCACAGAACCTGCACTTGCCAGTTTGGTGAATGACATGAAGAAAAGTCATCTCACTATCCACAGGTAGTTTCTGTCCCCCCCCCCCCCCCCCCCCCCCCCCCCCCGCCTCCAAAATCGAACAGAGCAGCCTGGAGAAGAGGAATAGGATGTGGTGGGTGAGGAACGTGAAGGAAAGGGGGGCCCCCAGGCAGGCCTGAGTCTATTTGCTGTGTGATTTCGGGCAAGTCACTTAACTCGTCTGAGACTCCAACTTCCTCAATCTCCTAGCAATGAAAACACAGAATACCCACCACCCAGGATGGCTGCAGGTAGGAAGTAGAACGTCTGTGGAGCCACTTAGTCTAGGCCTGGCAAGTGGGTAAATGTTTGCTGCTAATCATTTTAGAGCAAGGTGCTTCCATTTCAAGATGCCGGAGGCGTTGTTCATTTAATTCTTTTTTTTTTTTTTAGCCACTGTAAATGTCAGGCACACCAGGGTGAACAGGCTAGTTGTGATCTCTGCACTCATGACATTTCAGTCTTGTGGGAGAGACACGTGAACAGGCCATTCTACATTTAGTAGCTCCACGGCTAACTCCCTGTGTGCCCTTGGGCAGGGCTCTTAACCTTCCGCTCTATGAAACAGGAATAATGTCATTATACTATCTACTGGGAGGGCTGTTGTCTCCTAGGAGAAGCCTTGAGATAGTAAACTCTCACTCCTCAGCAGTGATTGCAGTTTAAAGAAGGCATCAGTGTCCTTTGTGATCTACGGAGAAAGGGCTGAGCTCAGGCTAAAGGCCAAATGAGGGGCGGGGACTGTAGAGCTCTGACCGTAGAGCTGGAGAGGTCACCGCTGGGCCTTGAACCATGAGTAGGACTTGGGTAAGGAGAGAGGCAGGTAGGGAGCATTCTGGCCTTGGGAACGGCATAAGCAAAGGCCTGGCAGTGCAACTTGCCAGGGTGCTCCTGGAAGGTTCCGGAGCAGTGTGCAAGCGGACTGATGTAGAGCGCTCGAGCGCACCGTGGCTAAGAAGTTGGGGAGCCAAATGGACTTCATAGCAGAAGTCTGATATGAAAAAAAATTTGGTGATTGGTAACTAAAGGTCAAGATGATGAAGTTTCTAGAATAGATTGGCCTGTACCAGCTTGAAGTAGCAAATGGCCTTGTCCTATTTGCAGCTGTTCCTGAAAGTAAATATTTAGTTACACAAATTACAGAACTAATGCATTCTCTTTGTAAGCAGAGGGAACACTTCAGATACAGTGGGAGTCGCTGTTACCCCCACTAGAAGGAGCAGCTGTTAGGTTGGTGCCTTTCCAGACCTGGCCAGGCATTCACGCTAACGTACATAAACAAGGTGACATTGCCACGGTGGTCTGTAACTCGCTTTCTTTCATTCCACGGCGCGTCTTGAAGCGTTCCATGTCAGGATATGTTTAGCTGACTCATAGACCGTCATAGTTGATTTAAATGGGTGAACATGTAAACATACGAATATGAGAGTGGATGATTTTAACTGGGGGAAAAAAATAACATGGCAGGAGGTGTAGATAAACCTTCAATGATGACATTACATCACTTCCTGCTCAGAACTTATTTTTCTGAAGAGTAGAGAAAATTGGGGCACCTGGGTGGCTCAGTCAGGTAAGCGTCAGGTTCGGCTCAGGTCATGATCTCATGGTTCGTGGGTTCGAGCCCTGCATCGGGCGCTGTGCTGACAGCTCAGAGCCTGGAGCCTGTTTCAGATTCTGTGTCTCCCTCTCTCTGCCCCTCCCTTGCATGTTCTCACATTCTTCTTTCTCTCTGTCTCTCAAAAAATAAACATTAAATATTACGGAAAATAGGCCCAAATTACTACTCTAAGTAACATGATGAGGAAGTAGTAACTGACATTGAATAACATTAGTCAAGGCAACTGTTTAGTTTATTGCAGCTGCTGTGAAGGAGGAGGGAAAATTTTAATTCATCCATAGCACAGGAAGAAGGTGAATCACTTAGCAGTGGCTTTGAATCCACATAGGCTTTGGAAAGAAGTAGGCAGCATGCAATATTTCATGACTTAAGAGGATTTAAATCAAGTGAAAAAATAATGATAATACTTTTTTCCTCAAGGCAGCGGGGACCTAGAAACCAGCCAGTCCTACACTTTCTAGGTTGAAGTAATGGCAAATCATTTAGAATAAGTCATTATTCGCCCAAGCCTGCACGATACTAAAAAGAGCTTGTCACACTGAACTGTCAAGGAATCGACATACACGTGATTGACGGTTTTAAACAAAATTCATTTGGTTTCATGTCTATTTCTTGATCCAGACTCTGAAATTTCAGATTAACGTGCTGTTGATATTGAGCTTTCTGACTCACTCCTTTTTTTTTTTTTAATGTTTCTTATTTATTTCTGAGAGAGAGAGAGAGACAGCATGAGCAGGGGAGGGTCAGAGAGAAAGGGAGACACAGAATCCGAAACAGACTCTAGGCCCTGAGCTGTCAGCACAGAGCCCAACTTGGGGCTTGAACCCACGAACTGTGAGATCATGACTTGAGCTGAAGTTGGACCCTTACCCTACTGAGCCACCCAGGTGCCCCATCTGACTCACTCCTCTTAATGTTTGGTACATGTGTGCACCAGTCAGGCCTGTACTGATGCATCTTTAGTGTGTGATTTTTTTTTTAAAGTTTTTATTTATTGTTTTTTTTTGAGAGAGAGAGAGAGCAGGCAGAAAGAGAGGAAGAGAGAGAGAGAGAGAGAGAGCATCCCTAGCAGGCCCTGCACCATCAGCACAGAGTCCTATGCAGGGCTTGAACTCACAAACTGTGAGATCATGACCTGAGCTGAAACCAAGAGTCTGATGTTTAGCTGACTGAGCCACCCAGGCGCCCCTTTGGTATGTTTCTAGTTTTTGCCAAATAGCACTGCCGTTTGGCACAGGCAGGTAGATGTGGAGAGGTGGGATGGCCTTGTGATCTCCTGGAAGGTTCAGAGTATCCAGAATCATCCTCCCCCCATCCTCTTAGAGCCAGCCCGGGGGGGGTTTGCTGTGAAAGGATTTGGTGAATAATGTGAAGGCACGGCCAGCACAGAGCCCTGCTTACTCTCCTTTCTTCTCTAGGATGGCCTTGGCCTCCTATCTTGGTTTGAGCTAGCCCCAGAGCCCAGCCTTCAGACTGCCTAGGATGTCAGAGCATAAGTTCTAGAAGGTGGGGCCCTGGCTCTTACCAGGCCCCTCGGCCAGGCTCTGGAAGCACAGGGACACACTGCCAGCCAGCCCTCCTCACCGGGGGTGGGGTGGGGAGCCAAAGTGGATCCCCTCCACTGGGCCCTCCACATTAGCACAGGAGGCAGTGTAGCCTAATACTTAGGAGGCCAGGCTACGGAATCAGACTGACCTGGGTTTAGAGTCCCAGCTTTACCCCTTACAATCCGTGAGACCTTGGGCAATTTACTCAGCCTCGGTTTTCTCATCTCTGAAGTGGGGATTCTGATTTCCAGGGTGATTGTTGGAATAAATAAATAACGTCAGAGCGCTTAGCACAGAGCCTACGTTGATAAATCTTGCTCACAGCAAGTTCAGGGGCAACAGAAAAGAAGAAGGCAAAGGACTCGGTCGGGGTGTGGGTAAGGAGGCTGATAGGAGCTTAGCCCTAGAAGAAGGTGATCTTTCCGTTCCTGAGACTCACTCCAGCACCAGGCCTAGCAGCACGCCCCACCCTCTCCCCCTCCCCCTCCCCTGTCTCCGGCCCTTCTCCTCCGAGGACTAGCATGGGGTCATCCTCAGCAGGCCCCCCCAGCTCCTGGCCTGTGGCAGGGGTCACCACAGCTGCAGTGCGGCGGGGACTGGAGAGCTCAGCTGCCTGGCCCGGCGCAGCTAAAGCTAGGAAATGGGGCATCTGAACCTGTTTCTCCTGGTGGCCGGGTCCTGGCCTGGGTGCTTGTCCAGCTTGCCTCTGGGACCCCCAGGCACCACCCCTACCCCCACCCTGTGCAGGAAACTGCCCCAGGTGCTTGGTGAACAAGTTGGGCCTGGGCCGTGCCCCACAGTGGGCTTCCAGTTGAGCCGATTCTGTTTCTCTCTTCTCATCCGACTCTCCTATTAAAAGGAGGGACATCTAAAGCTGCACGCTCTTAGAGAAGGTGATTAACTCCTGGGCCTCAGCGGGCTACTGGCACCAGGCTCACCCCCTCCTTCCTGTGATAGGAGGGGGTGTGGCTAGATCAGGGAAGCATGGTCAGTAGTGGTTTGCAGACACTTCTTGCACACATGGCATCTGTTACAGCTTCTATTGTTATGTCTTTTTTAAAAATGTTTGTCTACTTAGAAGAGAGTCTGGGGGAGGGGCAGAGAGCGAGGGAGAGAGAGAGAATTCCAAGCAGGCTCTGTGCCGTCTGCACAAAACCCAAACCCAGTGTGGGGCTTGATCTCATGAACTGTGAGATCATGACCTGAGCTGA